GTGTTCACATCCCTTTACATTTCCCCATATTTAGATGTGGTCTATGTGGCCACTAGAATATGGTGGAAGGCTGGTATTCCTTCTGAGATTTGGTTATAAGTCTCCGAAATCTACTTTGGGTTCACACGCTCTCTCTTACACTTCTCACACTTTCATTCTCTTGCCTCTCTCACTCTGGAGAGAGCAAGTTGCCGTCTTGTGCGCAGCCCAGTGGAGAGGCCCAACATTTATCAGACCTTTTAGAATTAGCGTGCTAACTATTGCTAGAGTATTTTTCTTTTCCTTATTTGTCCTGAAAACAACTAGTTTATTTTTTACTAATTAACTTTCCATCAATGCTAGACGTGTTCCCTATTAACAACCAAGGAGTGTGTTTGGAAGTGGGCTTGTAACAGGTACAGGTTTCATGGACTCTGCCCCCACTCCAGATACTGGAACTCCAAATCCCATCAGTACCAAGGAGAAGCACGCTGGGACGTGAGGGCGGAGCTGAGCAGCCAGGCTGGGATAAAACCAGGCATGTGGGCTCTGGGGGTCTCTTGGCCTGGTGGTTCGCGGCTGATCGATTTGGCTCTCAATCGGTTTTCAGCGTGCCGGTGGAGTCCAAGTCAGCAGAACTGGTAGGACATTCTAGTTGACTTGTATTTCTCTCCCTCTTTCCCTGGGTTATTCCTTTACCTTTCTCCTTATAAATAAATCCATTATTTAACCTTTTGAGTGTGTCCATAATACGACTGAATTGTAAGCGCACGGGTGAAGACCCACAGACGGGCAACCCAATTCACATTGGGGTGGCCTGTAACAGGTTCTCCTACCCCACTGGCCCTTGAGATGACGACAACCCAGACAGCTTCACTACGACATAACCTCATAGGAGACCCTGAGGTAGGACTACTCAGCCCAGTGATTTCTAGGTTTCTGGACCTCAGAAAGCATGTGAAATAACAAATGTTTGTTCTGTTAAGCTGTTCAGTTTTAAAGGAATTTGTGACACAGCAATAATTAGCTAATGCATCTCGTGTGTCTGCCACATTTCCCCTGATGGAGGTAAGATGGCTGCCACAGCTCCAAACGCCACGTTCTCATAGCATAGAGAGGGGGCTGGGCTAGGCTGGGGAAGGGGAGCGCTCCTCATGTACCTTTATCTTTTCATTATGGAGGAAAATCTTTCTTAGAAGCCACCCAGCAGACATCACTCTCCTTCCTTCTCACTAGCCATAGTGTGTGCCTTGACCCACTCAAGCTGCAAGGGAGGCGGAGAAATCAAGTATTGGGTCTTTCTGTTGTTCCATGAGGAAGCAGACAAACAACAGGAGGCAGAGTGAGGGCTGCTGTCCCTCAGCAGCATTCCCAGCCCTTCCCAGTTTAATCTGCCTGGTTGTTTTCCCTTGGAATCATTCAACCTGTTCACTGAGAACCAGAGTTAGGCCTCGATTAGATTCAGATTAAACATAATTGGCAAAAGTATTCACAGATGATACTGTGAATTTCATAGTCTCATATCAAGAAATAATTAGGTTCTCCATTAAGTAAACATTTTATAAGATCTAAGCAGAGAATGCTGCTCCATCGTCAAAGGGCTAAGCCAGAGTCTAGATCCCATCCTGCGTCTTATACTTAAGGGAACTCTAGGTTCTTCCAGACTCTAAGTTCATTTTAGGGCTGTCTTTTGGAATTGTGTGTGGTAAACATGCTTCTTGCATACGATTTCCTCAGGGCCTGATGAATCATAGAAACAGTGTTAACACAGTTCAAAACACCCAAGAGGACCATGAGCTGACTTTGAAAATCAAACGCAGAAGCGCTGGAATGTGATCCTTTCTTGTTGTCCACTTGGAGTTCTTAGGGTTTTAAACGTATCACGTCAGAAACAAGGAGAAATGAGGTGAGCCTTCTCCTTTGGTTGGCTCCCAGGGCTGTGTGACAGGCAAGGGCTGTGTGACCCGCCAGCTCTGCTCAGATGCATAGAGCATTTAACCACGCCAGCACCAGTTAGTCCCTCCACTGGGGCCTTCTTGTGCAGTTATGAACTTCTAGTCGGCTTGTCTGTCGAGGGGTTGTGCTGCACAACTGGTCTTTACCCCAGAACTGAAGAATCTGTTCCTTCAATGAAGATCAAGGCCCATTCCAGGCTAGAGGAGACAGGACACCAGAATCTGTCAGGACATAGCACAGTTCCTGAAAGGGCAGTGGGCTTCTCGAGTCCCCAAAAGCCCAACTGGACAAGATGGGCTTGTTTCCTGCTTCTCTGAGCACAATGAGATGATGGGAAGAACACCTACCTGTCAGGGTCATGGCCTAGAAGACCCCCTCCAGTTGCTCACTGTTCAGTCTGCTGCCTTAGAGGCATGGTCTGTGCTGGCTTCTTGGCACCCTCCCTCCTCCTCCCCACCCCCGAATCCAATGCTGTCACCACAGAAGAGTCATAAATTCACCCTCCACCCAGTTTCCCCTGTGCTGTCCCAGTTTCCTCAGGTTGGTCAAAGGCAGCCCCACCCCTCCCAGCGACCAGGCTAAGACGAGGCATCAGCCGTGACTCATCCTGCCCATCCAACCAGTCCCTGGGTCCCAAGAGTCTTCTGTGGCAATGACTTTATTAACTTGTCTTCCTTCAGCCACCACCCTCCTGGCCACCGACATCCCTAGGAAGACTCAGCTCAGCATTATTCCTCCCTGTCCTCATTGCCCTTCCAAGACTCTCCTGCCGGGGAACTCCCAGCTCTGCCTGCCTGTTGCAAATGGCTCTCGCCTTCCTCTACGGATCCTCCCTTCAAATGCACCCTATCTCCCAGCCTATCTGTTCCAGAAGCCTGTTTCTTACCAACCCTGGATAATAACAGACATACCACGTGCCAAGCATTTTATAGTCAGATCTTTACAATTTATTTATATTTACCTGCATAGCACAGGTGTTATTATCCCTTTTACAGATGAGGAAAACTAAGGCTCCGAGAGGTTACTCAGGTCATGCTGCCTGTAAATAACAGAACTGGGATTCGGTCCATGCCCCTCTGCTCCAAAGCACTTCATCCCTTGCAGCAGCCGCCTCGGGCCATCCCCTCTTCTGCAAGGTATGCACGCTGCTCCCTGGCACCACACCTGCCCTCCTCCTTCCTGCCTCTCTGGACTCCCCCAACCCACAAGGCTCCAGCCCTCCTCACCCACATTCTCTCACAAGATTCTCTGTCCTGTACAATTTGGAGCTCAATTGCAGTGTGCCTTGTATTTTTCTCCCATGTGTATTTCACATTTGCCTGTCTTCTTCCCAAGAAGCTTATAAGGGCCTGAGTTGAGGAATGGGGTTTCCACTCACTCCTGTCTTCCAGTACCCCAGGACACAGAAGTGGGTGCACAAACAGTCTGAGCAATTGACCTGAGTCCCCTTAGGAAATAGATTGGACTCCACCTAGTCACACCCACCCCGCGCTGCAGCAACCTCCTACCTCTGTGCCTAGGTACAAACATACACACATGCACACACACATACATACATCCATGCACTGGCACATCCTGTCACACATATATTTAGTCAAAAAATCTCTCCCTAGGGGCCCCCCTAGTAGTGCAAGTGATTGAAGCATAGTAATATGAAGCTATCCACAGTCTCTGCAGCACAAGAGGTGACCCACCTGGCGCAGCAGACCTCTCCTGACCCGCCCGCATCTCCCCTCAGCTGTGTATTGCAGTCAGCCCACCTGTTCTGTTCTTCACTCTGTCTTGGATGAATCCTCTCACCCCCACACTTCTGGCCTGAACCCCAGTTCTTGTATGCAAAAATAAATAAATCTTAAAAAAAAAATCTCTTCCCACACAGGAGCAATTACATGCCTGGAACTACCCACCCAAGACAGAAAACTCTCACCTAACTGAATACTGGCCATGTGGGACTGCAGTGTGGCCCAGTGTGGCCACAGGTTGGGGGAGCTCCCTGGGCGGGTTAGGGTTAAGTGTTAATCTGACATCCTGACAGAGGATGGACATCTGGCAGGGACCTGGAGTCCCTGCTCCAATTCTGGTCCTGCCACTCTTCAGTCTTGGGGGAGAGGGGAGTTCTGTCATTTTGCTTTTTTAGGACACCCTCAGGCATGTAATTTGCAGGCTATGAGGAAGACCTTCCTGTCCAGAGCCCCACTGCTGGACTGAGCAAGCAACATCAGGACCCCTACAGCTAAAACCCATCCCCCAGCCCCACCCTGCCCAGCCAGGTCCCACCCTCTGGGTTTCAAAGCCTCTCTCTGTCCTGAAGGGATGTGGCCGTTTCTGGCTTCCCAAGCTGCTCTCCCTGGGAGTTAAGTATTGCCACTTCAAATTTCTCATTTCCACATGGGAAAAGGAGCACACAATAGATTTCAGATCTTTTTCTTCCAACAACAAGAGAAGGTTTGGGGTTTGGGAAGAGGGAGCTGACGAAGAGCTAATGGCTTCATGAAGGGCAGGGGGGAAAGATGGTGAGAGAGGAGGCCTGAAACCAGAGTCTGTTCCTTTACAATTTTGCCCAAGGCCAGTCCTGACATCTGAGTAAACAAACAAGGGGGTGAGCACAGGGGTGCTTATGTAAGAAAAACAAATAAAAATAACTGTGTGATACATCACACATTCCACACAGAGACCAGAGAGGGAGTATGGGAACAGGCATCATTTGGGGAGGGGGGCACGGGTGGCCTCAGCGTGTCCCCTCAAAATCCCAAGTCATCTCAGCAGGCTTGGCCCTGCGGGGTGGGCGGTGGGGGTGGACGCTGCCTGCTGGTGGGAGGCCAGCACTTAATTCCTTTGCTGCCACAGCACAGCAGGGAGGGAGGTGCCCTCCGATAACCATCAGGGTAGGTTTTGCAACTTGATGTGTGAAGCCTTCTCTGCCCGCCAAGGCCAACGCAGAGCCCGCCTCTCTGGGCACGGCCCTGGGCAGCAGCCAAGAATGCGCCAGTCTGTGCCAGAGATGAATATACCCACGCGGTGAAGCCAAGGGGCCGCTCCCAGGACCAGGGCGCTGCTCACACAACCAGGGCGCCTTCTGTGCCTCTCCGGGTCTGCAGCCCTTGATCGAGTTTGACAGGCCCAGGTGGCGGCTGCCTGAGCACCTGTGGGTGCGCCAGCCACCAGGGACAGACCGCCACATTCCAGGCTCCAGGCTGGCAGGGACGCCTGGCAGTGAGCTGTGACTGGCAGGAGGCCCCAGCTCCGGCAGCCGGCCTGAGGGCGGTTCCTCCCCACCACGGGAGGCCCGGGCTGAGGACATGGAAGAGCAGGTGTTCAAGGGGGACCCAGACACACCTCATTCCATCTCCTTCTCTGGCAGCGGGTTCCTGTCCTTCTACCAGGCTGGGGCCGTGGATGCCCTGCGGGACCTGGCCCCCCGGATGCTAGAAACGGCCCATCGTTTCGCAGGGACGTCTGCTGGAGCCGTGATCGCCGCGCTGGTCATCTGTGGCATTGAAATGGGTAAGGACTTTGTGGGGGCCTCTGCAGGGATTCTCCAAAACAGAGCCTGGTGATCGCCTAGATGCTCTGGGGACCACAGCTAAGCCTTTGGGGTGGCAGGCAGGACAGGAGAGGTGGGTTGAGTGGAACAGTGAGCAGTGTGTGCAGCGTTTGAAAGTAAGGTCTGTGAGTTCCCAGGCTTGTCTGACCCACTAGGTGGGCTGGACTCACCCCCACCCCCACCCCCCACCCCCCACTTCCCTTAGTGCTTTACCTGTGAGATGCACAGCCTTCCAGGGCCTGGGGAGGGAAGTGCATCTCCCCCAGGCATCCTGTGTCAGGTGTTACACCAGGACACAGACCTACTTTGGGGTAAAGAGTGGCTCCCATCTGGCCTCTTCTAATGCAAATACTCAAGGGAAGGGCATCTATAGCATCTTCATGATGGTGGATTTGTGAGAACAGCTTCCAGAAGGCCGGAGAGGTGGATGCCCTGAGACTAGAGGGGAGAAACTGGCGTGTCCAGGGTCCCCACAAAGGACAGGCCCATGTCCAGGGTCCCCACAAAGGACAGGCCCATATCACTGACCCACGAGCAGAAGAGCCAGCCCCTGCAGACCTAGCACTAGAAGACCTTACGTCCTTGGGGTGCATTTATCTTCGTCTTGATAATAATTTTAATTTCTTTAAATTATCTTACATCCTTGCTAGTGTATTGACAGTGTATAATAATACATATGACCTATATATATATAATTTCCCCCCTTGGGTGCCATCACCATAGCACTCCCACCACCAAAACACCCATGGTCCTCCAGCCTAGCACATTGTGCTCTATCTTTCTGCCTTGGCCTCCCTCTCTGAAAGCCACAAGTCTATGGTCAGCTACCAAAGTTTTTTTTTTTTTTTAAAGATTTATTTTATTTGTACATACAGAACTGGGGTACGCCAGAGGCTCAGGGGTGGCTAGAGGCTTCACCAAGGACAGAGTGGGGAGCAGAACAGGCTCCCGAAGTACACTGCTGAGGGGAGCAGCGGGCGGGTCAGGAGAGGTCTGCCACGCCATGTGGTCACCTCCGGGGCAGGCGGGAATCGAACTCATGCGGAAGTGGCTTTAGCTTCTCAGTGCAGTGCTTTAACCCGCTGCGCCACCAGGGAGGGCCCAAAGTTTGGTTTTAAACTTGTCTTTGTCTGAGTCTTTGTTTATATTCCGTAAGTAAGTGATGCCATCCTGTACCTTTTCCCTTCTGGCTTATAGCGCAGCAGAATCCCTCTGGCCCCGCCCATGTTGCTCCAAATGGCATGAGTTTATCTGTTTTGACTGCTGAGTAGTATTCCACTGTGTACATAGACCACATCTTGCTCCATGCATCTGTCTTGGAAGCACTGATAGTGTCTCCAGAGTTTGGCTGTTGTAGATGTGCTATCATCGACAGGGGAGTGCAGGTTTACTTTTGAATTAGTGTTCTTGGATTTGGGGGGGTAGGGGGTGCATTTATTCATTTACTGCACTACTGTTCCATGTCATGCTCTGTTCCATGTACTGGGACAAAGTCCCTGTCCCCATGGAATAGGAATTCCAGGGGGCACAGTTAACATTCAAACAAACAACCTCCCCATATCAAGAAGCGACTGGCTTATGTAAAATTACAGCTGAGAAGGTTCGGAGAATAAAGTGCGGTGGTCAGAGAAACAGAGACCAAGTGGAATGAATGAACAAACCAGGTGGAGGAGAGTGAAGGACCCGGGGGTGGGGGGGTGGGGAGAGTGGGAGGGGTGGTGGATAAGGCTGGCGAGGCAGGCAGGGTCCAGCTCCCGAGGAAACTTGCAGCCAGAGAGATGGGAGCACAGGCACACGATGAGGGAGGTGTCGTGGGGGAGGTGACGCCTCATGGGTTATAGTCCTGTTCAGCTGTTTCACAGAGTGGACCTGGGGCAAGTTAGTGAACTCTTTGTGCCTCAGTTTCCACACTTGTGAAGTGGAAATTCCACTCACAACTAGTTCGCAGGGTTCTTAAAAGATGAACAACTAATCAATTAGTGCCTGCTGTTTCATTCACCCGTTTTTTAAAAAGATTTATTTATTTATGCATACAGAACTGGGGTGCAAGCCAGCGGTACGGGGATGGGGGTGCGAGGATTCAGAGACAGAGTGGGGAGCAGAACAGGCAGATGGACTGAAGTACATTGCTGAGGGGAGCAGCGGGTGAGACAGGAGAGGTCTGCCGCACCATGTGGGTCAGCTCCCTGGCCGGGGATCAAACTTGGGCTGCAGTGGTGCGATAGTGTTGTCATGGAGCTGTGCTTTAACCTGTTGCGCCACCTAGAAGGGCTCTCAATCCATCTCTTACTTTCTTACTATCCAGAAGGCTTGACTTTGTTCCCCAAAGCATCCCCAGGCAATCATCTGTGACTGATATGATAAGTTGCTTGTCACAGTGCCTGATACGCAAGCTCTCTTCACAACGTTTTTAAGGAACCCTACTGCTGGGCCACAGAGTTAGGGAGCATGGTGGAGACACAACCAGTGGGAAAATACTCTATATTTAGGTGAGGGATGAGTGGGGCAGGTGGCTGGGCGCTGAGGTCGGGAGACGTGGTCAGATTCAATACATACTTAGAAGGCGGAATCCAGGAGACTAGTTGAAGAGCCAGGTGTGGTATGTGAGGATGCCGGGAAGCAGGGACCTCCACCCGAGAGCTCTGTACTTTGTCTTTTTTTTTTTTTTT